CCCCCCCCGAGGAAGCCCAGCCAGCTCAGCAGCGTGCCAAGCATGGGCTCTCCTCTTTGTGCCACCAGAGAATTTGGAGGCAATTTTCCCCCCCTCTTCCTTTTGGAAGGTCTCTTGCGAGTTTTTTAGGAGAGGCTCGGGTTTGGTTGGGACAACCTTCCTCTTTCAGAAGGATAGGGTCATCTTTAGCTCATCTTAAGGATGGAGGAGTGGTGGGTGCCCGGACAGGGAGGCCAGGTGCTGTCCCTCTGCTGTGTTTGTTTCAGTTTGCACTTTTACGAGTCGATTGAGCCGGAGTCTGTTGAGAAATGCGTTATGAAGCGCTTTGGAGGGTTGTGGGTAGCTGTTTACAGCCCCGAAAACCTAAACCTGATAGATCTAGTGGTTATAGTCAACATCACCCCACCAGGGAACGATGGCAGCAGATAACCCTGGTTCCTGTTGCACAGTGAGGTTCAGCCAGCTGGGGCCATGGTGCTGCCTGCTGCATCCCTGCCCTGCCTCTCAGCCCCGGCTTTGCTGGGCAGGGAGAGGCTTTTGACAGCTAGAGAGGGACTTAGTGAATCAGATTTGCCGGCAAACAAGCACCTTAACCACCGAGCTGTGGGTCTCAATACTTGCACTTCACCTGAAGGCTCCTCTGGGAGCGGGGGGAGGAAGGCAGTTTGGTACGTGACCGTTGGCTTTGCACCCGTCTGGCGTCCTCAAAACATCCTAAAGCCATGTCCTATGAAAAAAGACCCAACATCGGTTCTCTCTCTCCTTGCTTTCTCTGAATGCACACACTGAGTCCAGGAACCCGGAGGGCCGAGCGTTGTCCCCACGGATGTGAACAAACACGGGGGGATCTTCTGCCTCACCCCTCCGGTCCCCTGCCCCGCTCCCCACCCTTGAGTACGGGTACCTCAGAACATGCACAGTTTGAATTTTCACTGACAATTAGTTTAATTATTGTGAGTGAAAAGAATTGTAATTATCTGTAAATATGTAGTTAACAAATTGACCTAGTTTCTGTATTTTTTAAGTTTTTGTACTAAAATTTATAGATACAGTATGTGCCAGCTAGCAAAAAGCTACTGTAATTGCCAGTCGTAGTTCAGCATGCATCTAATCCCCGAGACTTGTCAAAGTGATGCTGTAAGGAATTTTGCTTAAATATTGCGAGCTGGGGAGGCGCAGCGGCTGCTGGGGCCGGGGGGTGGCTGGGGAGGCCAACAGCCGCTCGCCCTGGGGCTTTCGGCTTCCAGCCTTCAGCTGGGTTTTCCGTGTTTGCCAGGTTTTTCCGTGTTTGCCAGTTTTTTCCATGTTTGCTGTGTGGAATCTTCTTCCTTTCGGCGTTGTGTGCTGTACGGTGGGCAGGGCGAGGGACAGAGCGGTGGCTTCGAGCTTTCTCTGGGGCTAAACTCAACGGGAACCGAGTTCAGGTTCTTTGCTGCAGTTTAATACTGGCTTATGACTATATTTTTCAACCTCTCTAGAAATGATCTGTTTTCCCCTTCTGACTGCTTTTGTCTTAAACCCGAGATCATCTAAACCTACTGGAGAAAAAAAAAAAAAAAAGAAAAAAAAAAAAAAACAGAAAAAGAGGACTTTAGTTTAAGATCATTGCCTGCTTTCAGTGCCAGGATCACGCATTTCTATGGCAACTCTGAGCTCAGCAGAGTTTAGAAATCAGCCCAGGGTTGTTAATGACATCGCTGCTGCTTTTGCGTGACCCCAACTGCAGCCGGTGGCAGCTGCACAGGGCGAGTTTGTGGGTGCGATGCGGTGGCTTGTCGGGGGGTCTCGGTCTCCCTGCCCCGGCTGCGGCTTGGCTTGCACCGCGAGACCTGCCACAGTGTCAGGGCTGGACTCCCCCCACGCTTCCTAGGAACGAAGCAAGGACCTGTGCTCCTTGTCTTGGGGCAGAGGCAAGACAGCAAGTCGGGAATAGTTTTGCTGAGCATCCCGGGAGGCCGCGGGCAGAGGGGTTTGAGCGCCGGCGAGGCCCGTGCTCTCCGGGTCTGGGTGTCCTGGAGGTCGCAGGGGTCGGGAGCTTGTGAGGATTCAAGGATCAGAGAAGGAGAGGCATACGTGCGTGTACAGGTTTGGCTTCTGGCAAGCAAACCACCCGCTTCCTTAAGCTTTTCTTCCCTCCTAACCCCCCGCAGCTCTTCCCCCCTCGGCGCCCGCCTGTTCATGTGCACAAACTCGAGAGCTGCCTACTGATGACAGCAAAGCTGTTGCTGCTTTTCCTCTCCTCCTGTCTCTTAT